ATCTCATGGCAGGTCCCAACGCACCCCTCACCAAAGCATTCATCAGTTGCGGGTGGCAATGCATTACAGTGGATTGGTTGTTGGATGACAGCCATGACCTGTCAGATGAGCGCCGGCAACACTCCCTGAGCAAACAGCTTGAAGAGGTGATCTTCATAGCGGCAGCTATCGACTGTTCGACAAAGAGTAGGGCCAGGGAGATCCCCAGGAAATTTGAAGACGGGCGGCCAGCCCCTGGTCCTCTTCGATCCGAGGTCTACCCTGATGGCCTGCCTCACCTCAACAGCCGGGATGCCCAAAGAGTTGACCTTGACAACAAAGCCTGCAATTATGTCTTGGGCGAAATTCAGAAGTTGCGGGATAGGGGGGGAGGCAGTGTGCGTGAAAACCCTGCCCGCTCCTTGCACTGGTGGACGTCCACGGAGGTGACTATGTGGGAATCGGGACAATGGTTCGACACAGCCTACGCGGCATGTACTTTGGGTGGGGCGCGTTGCAAGCATCAAGTGCTACGGCACAATGTGGAGGAGATCCAACGCTGGCCCCCAGCCAATTGCCACCATGTACACGACCCACAGGAATGGACCCCCTACACCTCCGACGGCCAGCGGTTCTACCCATCCAAAGAAGAGGCAGAGTACACAGCAGTCCTTGCCTTTGCCATTGCAGTGTCGGCTAGTTGGTGGGCAGTCCGCACAGGTCTAGCCGTCCTGCATGTCCCACGCATGCCCACGTTCATGTCAGTTGGACGCCGTGAACATTGGCTGGATATGGACCCGCGCGCAATGCGGGAGTGGGCAATGGCACCACTGGCGGTGACGCTGGGCCTCACAGAGTCCTTGAGGGCTGAACGATCGGGGTTACCGGTCCGAAGGCTCGTCAAAGAGGTGATGATCGAGAACAATAAGCTACCACGCAACACCATCTACGTCGGCCGAGGCAGCTTTCATCATCGCCTATCGACGACCAAGTGGAAATCGCCATGGACACCGGGCCACAACTGCGAAGCCGGTGAATGGCCGGCCAGGTACATCGTCCATATTCGAACATCACCTTTGTGGGACGCCTTGCATGAGCTTAGCAATATGGAGCTGGCGTGCGACTGCCCCATGGAGCACCTGTGCGAAGCGGACATGCTCATTGGCCTCTTCTTCGATGCCACCGCCCCTGGGGGTGACCCAATGCAGCGGGGCACCGATGGCCGATGGAGTAGGACTGTGGCATTGTTGCAAGCCCATGATGAGCCAAGAAGCACTGGTATTGGCATTCCAAAAGCTTTTCCCCGAGCACTGGTTCAAGAACTACAAGTTTGCAATGATTGAAGACCTCATCAACAGCCCGCCCTTCTGCTCATATGCCGCTTGGCTTGCAGAGCGAGGAGAAGCTTGGGACGGGCCCCTAGTCCCGCACCTGGCTGCCGGGTCAGTGAGGCAGCTTGCACGGATTGGGGACGGGTGCCAAGTGGGTGCGATGACACACCGTGCCGCTTTGCCCCCACTGCTGCCGTTCAACTTGGATCCTGAGGACCACTTCAACCAAGCAGTCCAACGAGCCCAGCAACCGTTGCCCTACGAAGACCTCCCAGTCGTCGACTTAGACCTGGAGTTCGTAGCAGATGCATATGTGGCACATGGCCAGCAGTTGCGGCCGTGGCGGCAGCAGGCAGTCGGGGCCATGCGAGAGCTGAAGAGACGCTGGGAGGGGGTGACCCTCCACTTGCGCTCCTTCCAAGAGCCGGCTATCCAGCAGGTCACACGGCACCGCGATGTGGGGCTCATCGCATTGCTGATGCTGCTGACCTCATGGGCAGACACCAGTTTTCCCTATGGTCTGATCCGTGGGCTGCCTGCAGTGGGCTACGCACCACCTTATAGGATATTCCCCCAACAGCCAGCTGAGGTGATCAGCATGGCGGATGTGTTGGAGGGATGGCAAGAACACAATCAGCACATCTTGGGCCAGCTGAGAGCAGGCAAGGACGATGAGTTCCTCCTGCAGCAGTCATTGGAGGACGCAGCAAATGGCTTCTGCACAGAGCCCTTGCGACGGACAGATTTCCTGCGGGCCATTGGCAACAAGGCCCATCGGCTGATCCCGCGTTGCGTGATCACACAGAGCTCAGGCAAGCAGCGTGTGATCGACAATGGAGACACCGGAGGACAATCAGCCTTGTCATCTGATGCTAACAAGCTCACATTGTGCAGTCCATTGCGTCCTGCCCAGCACATTCGCCTTGCAATGCATCGTTGGACAGAGGATGAGATGGCCGATTTCTTCGCAAACGATGCCTGGGAAACGGGACAAGAAGATCTGCCTTCAGCATACAGGTATTGCCCTATGGCATTGCAGGAAAGTCTGGGCTGCGTGGTGGTGTGGTACCATCACGAATGGCAAACCCCTGCATACCAAGTCTACGCTGGGCTACTCTTCGGACTGCCGCTGGCGGTTACGTCATTCAACCGTTTTTCCAGACTATTGGAGGCACTAGCCAGGCGTTTTTGCCGAGTTTTGACATCCCTGTACTTTGATGATGCGACCATTACAGACTTGCGATCCTCAAAAGGGTCAGGCCAATGGGCCATGAATCAATTGTGTTCTCTTATCGGATCCCCTTTCGCAGAGGACAAGAAACAACCAATGCAGAGCACCGGAACCTTTTTGGGATTGACTCATGATCTTAGCTCCATCAACGAAACAGGGCATGTACAATTTTGGGCTCGAGAACGGCTCCATGACAAAGTCCGTGACATGTTGGCAACAGCCAGGGTGACTGGCCATTTTAGCCGAGGGGCAGCATCGAAGCTGTACGGCTTGGCCAACTTCCTGGACCAGGGCATCTACGGTCGAGTGGGATATGGTGGCCTTATGGCCATCAAGGCCAGGCAAGACGAGACAACCTCGACCATCACTCCCGAGATTGAAGCATGCTTCGAGGTGATCGAAGCGGTTATGCGCTTTCAGCCAAAACGGGAATTTCCCGTTCTGCACCTGGATCATCTGCGCTTTCTGGCAGCCTCCGATGCAGCTGTTGAAGCAGACAATCCTGGTTCAGGAGGTTTTCACCTGATCTTTTTCCAGCCTGACGGATCACAAATTCGTCACAGTTTTGTCGCGACCAACTGTGCAGAACTACGAGCACTTTGGCAACCTGCAGAGACGCATATCGCCCAATTGGAACTATCTATGGTGCTCTACGCCCTTGTCGAAAGGCCTGATCTGTTTCGAAATCGACACGGCCTATGGTTTTTGGACAACGTAGCAGCCGTCATGACGCTAGTGAGAGGACGTTCTAGCAATGCCGACTTAGCGAAGCTAGGTCATTTGATCCATCTAGCTCTGTTTGCACTGCGAGCCCAAGGATATTGGGAGTACGTCCAGAGCAAGAGCAACTGGGCTGACGACATCAGCCGACTTGGCGTCAATGATCCATGGTGGCGATGCCATGGTTTTGAATTTTACTCGTCGTACCTCCCTACAATCTTGTTCCAGCTACCCTTTGCAGCTGTCATTCTCACCTTCGAATACCTTTAGTGCTTTGGGAAGTGAGTGCATTGGGTGATTCCTGCAGAGCAGGTTCCAGCCTGGGTTGCCAGGCAGCTGACCAGTGGCGAAACTGGTCTGGGGCTATGTACGTGTCACATCGTGACAACCCAAAGCAAACCTGAGGATTGCAGGTGAAATTGACTGAGCATAGGCATAGCTGTGGAAAAAGAAAGCTGTGGGAGCGCGAGACAGTACCTGTTTCATATGACACTTTGAGATGTACCCATGCATTGAGTTTGGCAGGCTTGGGTGTGCATGTATCATCTTTAAGTGTTTCAATGAATGCTATCATTTTGGCTCAAGTAAACTTGAACCAAAATAGCATTCATTGCTGTTTTATTTCCCCACCCTCCCAACCCTAAGAGCCGACCTCCCGTGGAGATGCCCGCCTAGGTTAGGGGAGCCTGCACGGCAGGCGAGTACATAGCCTCTATCGGGGATCCTCTCTTGGGGTGACCAAGAGAGCCTTTCCCTCCCTTAGGTTTAAGGGACGGGTGATTCCTGCAGAGCAGGTTCCAGCCTGGGTTGCCAGGCAGCTGACCAGTGGTGAAACTGGTCTGGGGCTATGTACGTGTCACATCGTGACAACCCAAAGCAAACCTGAGGATTGCAGGTGAAATTGACTGAGCATAGGCATAGCTGTGGAAAAAGAAAGCTGTGGGAGCGCGAGACAGTACCTGTTTCATATGACACTTTGAGATGTATATATATACATACATAATTTGTGTGTTTATGTATGTGTATATATATATATATATATGTATATTGTAAATATATGTAAATAGAAGTAAATAGGTTCTATTGGAAAGACTGGTTTCTTCCTGCACCACATTTTCCTTTGCATCAGCATGTTCATTGAAAATTGGGGCTTTTTTACCGGGCAAAATCTTGTCCCGACTCAACGACTCAAGCTATTCCCAAATTTCGATGATTGGACACACCAAAGCCCTCAGGACCTGGAGCCATTTGGCCAAAGAAAAAACAGTAAAAACATCTATGGTAATAATTTAATAATCTATGGTATATGTAAGAATATTCTAGATTCTTATAATCCAATTTATGTAGAAACATATAGAATATTATAGAATCTAATAATCTATGGTAATCTGTACAATTTCCAAAACAAATTTCCAATATCCAATTTCCAGTTCTACCAATAATAATCTACCAATTTTGATATAACCGAAAACTGGAAATTTCCAGTGGTAGAACTGGAAATCACTAATATAGTATAGAATCTAATAATCATTAACAATAGTCAATAATCACTCATAATCATGAATCATCATGAATCATCTATTAATCATCATGAATCATCAATAATCATTCATAATCACTAACAATGAATAATCATTAATAATCTATTAGTGATTATGGTGACTAAGTTTGGTTCATTAGTCATCTATTGGTTCAATTTGAATGCCATTGACCCGTGAAAACCATCCAATTCCTCATCAGGGTGACCTCAATACCCGCGTGGACGCCTCCCGGGACGACGTGGATGCCTGGTTGGCCGCCAAGTCGGGGGCACCCGGCGACCGTGAAACGTGAAGCGTTGAGGACGGGAGAACTGAGTGGGATGCAGTTGATAGATTTCGATAGATATTTCATGGATATGTCGTTTTTTTTGGAAAAATTGTAGAACTATACCATGAAATATCTATGTTTCTTGGTGATGAACTGATTTGATCATATTTTCACTGGGCTTTTGATGGTAGAAATATCATGAAATATCTATTGTTTCCATAGTTACTAGTTAATCGGGGGTTAATCCCTTTCCAGGTTCATCTCAAAGACAGTAATTTGAACAGGTTCAATTTATCACTCACTCAGTAATTTTGCGGATTGGTATCGTAAAATCCGGATTGCTATCAAACTTTAATGACCCATATTTATTGTCCAGTATTGGATCTATATTTGGCAGCGAAGGCTATGGGTCAAACTTGGGTACTCCAATAAGTAGATTACCCTCTGGCAAACTAGCGTAACTATGGAAAATCACAATTTTTCATGGGTAAAGCGGTAAAATCTACTATTTCTATGACCATTTTCAATAGCAAACTGTTAGTTTACCAGAGGATAATACCATTAAAATCACCATTTTTGTTGGTTAAAGCCCATTAAACCACCATTAAACCACCATTAAACCACCATGATTAATACAAAACCAACCAACTAAGGTCGGTGGTCCCATAGGGAGGGACGGCCCATGGGATCCAAGGCAATTCGACCGCTGTATGGCGGCCGATCAGTTGCTGCCTCTACTGAAAGGCGATTCAGGCTGGGAACGTTGGGATTTACCATGGGTTTACCATGGATTTAATAGATGTTTTCTTATTTTCATGATATATATGTACATATATAATATTGTATATATATATAATATATATATATATATCATGGATTGATTATATGGAATATCATGGTCCCATTGAAATCCCGGAAAAAACATGATTCCCTCAATCGCCAAACTCCGGCAGAGGTCATGCCAGCCCGTGTGGCCTTTGGCCCGACTTTCAAGAGGCCGGGACACGTTCGACTGGGCAACTGGAGAACGATAGAAAGGGCTCTATGCATCAAACCACTATAGGTTGGATTTTACCTTCCCAAATGTTTTTTTTTTGGGACTGTATGCAGTATCACGTATATATATATATATATGATGATGTGATGATATTGTTGTTGTTGTTGTTGTTGTTGTTGCTGTTGTTGTTGTTGTTGTTGTGGTTGTGGTTGTGGTTGTTGTTGGTTGTTGTTGGTTGTGGTTGTTGTGGTTGTTGTGGTTGTTGTGGTTGTTGTTATTGTTGTTGTTGGTGGTGGTGGTTGGTTGTGGTTGTGGTTGTGGTTGTGGTTGTGGTTGTTGTTGTTGTTGTTGTTGTTTGGTTGTTGTTTGGTTGTTGTTGTTGTTGTTGTTTGTTGTTTGTTGGTTGTTGGTTGTTGGTTGTTGGTTGTTGGTTGTTGTTGTTGTTGTAGTTGTAGTTGTATATATAATATATATATATAATATATATATATATATACAGTATGAAGTACATGTATACAGTATATATGTAGTCCATGTATACGTGAAGTTTAACCTATCGATCTATATCTGGTTTATAGCCCATTTGTGAACACGTCGAGACTTGCCATGGTTGCCATCCACACACTGGGTGCTGGCTGACGGTTTTGCAGTGGTATTCTGTATGTTCTTACCTGAAAATTCAATGGAATGATGATCCATGATGTATGATTATCCCAAAGCGAAGATTTTTTGCACTTATACACGTATGAACCTCCAACCAGTCATGCCGCGATGTCATGTTCTGGGATTGAATCAGGCGCAGATCAACTTTCCACCCACTTACAAGTTCGACAAATACTCCGTTCGTCCCTTAGGGTGTGGGTACCAGCGGGTACCAGCGGGTACCCCTGGCACTGGATGCTGACCTTGAATTTGGATTTTCCCATTGATTAAGGCAGTATGGCTGGGGAAAATCTGTTTCATTCTTTTGGGTCCCCCTTTGTTTAGCATACCCAAGTGAGTGTTTGTCCCTACGTCCCTACCTTCTGGGCAGGAAGAAACGGGTTGTTTTGTGCAAGTCAAGAGATGGTCAAGACTGCAGGATCCCCAAGATCTACCCGAAGTGTGCTCCTTGCCTGTTGCTTGATTGATGTTCCTTAGTTACTTAGTTCATTCCCAATAATTCCCAGTGATTATGTCCCCTGCCACGATTGATACTCAGATACGAACCTTCTTGCTTCGTTACCTGGCCCTCAGGCACCTCATCTCTCCGCTATGTTCCACTTTTTTGCTTGGTACATACCTGGTGTATGTAACATTTTTCTCCTCAGCTTCATGATCCAAGGAGGTTTACGATTCCTCCAAAAAGCGACGAGTTCCCAGTTGGACGGACCGAGTCTTCAGGGGTCGACCAGAAATCAGTACAGCAGGGCAGTCATACACTAGAAATCACTGGCGCCATAGACTATCCTTAATTTACATCTAGTCTACATACTACATGAATTGATATGTATATTTAATATTATTTAATATTAGATTAATATTAGTATATAACATATAACATAGTCTAGCCAGCAATTTTCCTCAGGATGCAATCTACAAACAGATGAGAAGTTCACTGGCATATGTTCACCGAATGTCAGCAAGACTAATTGGTGGTGCAGGTTGCAGTAGGTTAGTTTCAAAATGGTTTGGTTGGTCCAAAAATAAAAAAAACACATTGAAAACTATCATATAAATACATTTATTCATAAAAACAAATAAATAAAGAGAAATAAAAAGACATAAAAAGAAACACATACACAAAAAATACATACATAGAACTCAAATGATTTTACTTCATTCTATTTAATCTGTTCAGGCTGTGGCCTATCAAGACTGACTTTGTTTTGACAACGCTGGCCACGCACAAACAATCTCAGATTTTTCCACAGCACATCGCGCCAGAAACACCCTTGCAGCATGTTTGCGATTTCCTTTTTTTTTTAGATTTTGTTTTGTTCTCAAATCTTTTGATTTTTCGCATTTTTGTCAAAAAATAGCAAAAAAGAGAAAAAACGAGAAACCACAAAGAGATCTTAAAAAAACATTTTCTCAATTAAAAACCAACTGCAGGTTATCCCACTGTCGCGAAACCCACGAGATAAAAACAGCAAAAAAAAGAAAAAGGTGCATTTGTTTTGTTTTTTCCCATGTTTTTAATTTCTTTTCACTTTTTGTTCATTGTTTTCATTTTGTTCAGTTCTTTTCACTTGTTTTTTTCAATTTCTGTTCATTTTGTTCATTTGTTTTCACTTTTTGTTCATTGTTTTCATTTCTTTTCATTTCCTGCGTTTTCCTTCTCTTGAAAAAAACATTACCAATCCAGACCACTTGCATGTCGACCCACTACTTAGTTTTGCTGAGAATGGTAACTTGGGGACATGGTCACTGATCATGGGAAACATTACATGGGACCCATGTGCTCCATGTAGGGTATATCTACAAGCGGACCATTTCTGGGGTAAATGTTGGTAAACATGTCCATTATTTGGGTAAACGTTGGGTAAATGTTGGTAATTATCTGGGGTAAATGTTGGTAATTTCTGGGGTACATATATTATCATTCATGAAGCATCTGGGTAAAGTATAATTACCAATACCGCTCAAAAGTGATACGTAGCTTGCTGCGGACATCGGCCAAACACTGCGGCAGAACCAAAAATACCAAGACCGGTGAAAGACTTCTGAGGTACACTTGGGTAGCTTGCCTCAAGCAGTCATGCAACATTTAGCCATGATACTCCCAAATGAGGGAGTGGGTCACGATTTAAGTCCCGGGGACACACAAATGAAATGGACATGTTTAGCATCAAAACATCCAAGTTTGAATCCTCAACTCATGCCGCGTTCAGAACAACCTTCATATTTGTGTGTCCTTTAGTTGATTTTCCAATAGCCCAATCATCCACGGGTAAATCCAATTGTTTGTTCCTGATGGTAAATCCATAATACTCCCATAATCAAAAGATTGCAGTAGTCCCCCATGATAGTCAATATGGTAAATCCAGTAATCCATCCCCAATTTTACCAGAAATATCCACAGCATGAGGTTTTGGGTTTACCACGTTGCTGGGTCAGCAGAGGATAGAGGATAGCCAGATAGGAAGCGGATCCACGCCAGCTTGACGGCTCGAGATATGCCAAATCACATAGATCATCATAGATCATTAGATTCAAATAGGTACGCCATAGCTACACCACGGCAAAACACGGTAAACCAGAAACAAAAGCTGTGATCCCGAAGGTCTCAAATACACGTCCTGGTCATGTCCAGTGGGCTGGCAGGATCGTATCCTCTGGAAGAAGGACCCCGGCATCAAATCGCTGAGTTACAACTCGGTGCCTCGCGGTCCATCAGAATGGGATGGTGATGATGGTGCCATCAGGTGCACATATGTTTGGGGATGAATAGGGTACCATATTTTAAAATCATCATTACATGGTACCGAAACCAGACCCCGGGTACCAATTGTTTTTTTATTTGACAATTTAGCTGAAAATCATCAATATTCACCAACGATGCTTGTTACATCTTGTTACGGTTTGCAATTTTCATCTAGAGCCTCAAGTTACTCAGGTTCAAGGCTGACAGTTGCTGTCACCAGTCTTGTTGTCCTTGCCGTTGTCATCCTGGTCGCTGCTTCCGTTCTTTGCTTCTATCTTTAAGGAGCACATGGTACGGAGGTTTGTACATTGGAATGTTTCAGAATGTTTCAGATTTGATACCTCTTCTGCTTTGGCTAAAGGTTTTCAGAACCGGGTACTGGCTCAAGACCTTTTGACCCCAAGACAGATTTGTACCACAAAAATTGAGGGTGTGGCCCTGTTTTCAGCAGTAGTTGCGCAATTGAGAGCATTTCACAATTCAAAGATTAGTACCGCCAGACCATCAGCATTTTGCAGCCTATCTAAATCCTGTCGGCGTTGATGATGCGTGATCCTTAAAATGTGGGTGCATCACCATCACCATCACCATCGCCATCGCCATCGCCATCGCCATCAATCACAACCACCACCACCACCACCACCAGCAGCAGCAGCAGCATCATCATCATCATCATCATCATCTTTTCCATTTGGAGGTTTCCTAAAATTGGGGGGGGTACTATGGGGTACTCCCAAATAATCCAGTCATACCCAACTTTTTTCGCATCGAAACAACCATGGTGACGACCTCTGGGGATCCCCCAGGTACCAACGCTGCAATGCTCCGACCATCGCCCGGTCTTTGGGCAATTCGAGGCGACGTGAAAAGAGACAGGGAACCCTGAAGTGACTGTGGAAAAATATCCCAAAAAACTGGGGATTGACATGATTGAATTTGCACATCAACGAAAGTAAGTGGGATATAATATAGCAAAAAAATGTAAACAGTATAATTGATAATAATTAATAATAATAATAAATAATAATTAATAATAATAATACTAATAATATATATATACACATGCATTCCAGGCAAACATGTTAGCAACGGGGAGTAGCAGCAACTACCCATTTACTTATATAAAGTTGTGATATCCCAATAGTAGGGATCAACAATCGGAGCAAAATGGTGGTTCAGTTCAGCACATTTGCTGCATTTGCTTGCGCCGAGCCGACCAACTCGATCAAGATTGGTCATAATTTTCCCATAAAGGGGCACAGTGATCCCATTCATATACGGGGTTAATGTATGTCAATGTTGTCAATGTACCATGTTTTGACAGTGGTACATCTATTTAGACGATAGACGAAAGTTCTTGTGGTTTTATGTTTGATTTTCATGTAGGAAATCAACAGATGTCAAGATCAGAATGAGACAAGGTTGCCAGATAGATACCTTTTGCAGAAAGTTCAGCACTTCAAAAGGACACCTGTGGAAGTCCGAACCAAGATCTCCAAGCTGTGCCACGACAATCCCAGCAGTTGCACTCTGGCTGACAGTTCGTCATGGAACACTTCGCCATGGACATTCCGAAGATTCCGAACGAATAGGGGAAGTCATGGGAATTCATCTACTTTCATGGCATGTCATGACGCATTTTCATTCATTTTCCATACCTTCAACGCTGCTCGAAACAACCACCGGAATCACCTGCCGTTCCCGCGCCTGCCGCAGCGGTTCCCGCAGGTGAAGGTTGACTTGAATTGGTCAGGTCCACCACCTTCTGCCAGGACGGGTGGGTAGCCCATGTGGAATTTTGAGGACCTCGAAGATGATCTTTGGGACCGCTCATCCAGAGTTTGAAAATGCAATGAAAATGCTATGAACATGGTATTATTTCCCTTGAACTGGAAATCAATACAACCGGTGGCCCACTTTGAATTCGGGGTTAGACTTAATACGATTGTTAACTATCCACTTAATGCAAGAGTCCGCTCAATTGAAACAACAAATTAAATGGGATTCTACAATGATCAAATCCGACTTAACCCCAGTTAACCCTATATCTATAGTTATTCTTAGTGACGCTTCCCTTCTAAGCATGTCTAAGCTAGTTCCTATTTGGTGCTACGGCAACCCATGGCTATCATGGGACCAGGAAAAGCTCGGTGTGCACAGTGCAGTGAGGCTGGTTGGTGCCATTCTGGGATTTACCCATGATTTACCATGTTATTTTACCCACACCATATGACCACATGACACAAACATACATGAAAAATCCATGTTTTTTTCGTCGGAAAATCCATGAAGAATCCCCCGGTTGCCAGGTACCAGCCCTGTCATCGCCGAGGGTTGACCTGTCCGGATGGATCCCAAGCGATTTGCTGGGAGACAATGCAGGCGCAGGAGACTTTGGAACATCAATAGATGTGATTTATGACATGATTTATTAGATTAGTCTTGGATCTTTTGGAAATCTTTGGATCTTGGATCTATCTCCTATAGATGTCCCAAAACGATCCAAAACGCCCACTTCTTCAGATCAGTTCCAGCACAACTGGTCACCAACTTCACCGGGTCACTCCTCCGCGGACTTTACGAGTCACTCGTCTCCGGATCTCCAAAGGAGACACGCCCGGAGACACTTTTCGGGAGAAATTTCCAATGCCCAGTTTGTTTGGGGTTGAAACTCGTGGGCGTGTCCAGAGCCCGTAGATTTCCAAAGTGAATCGTCGATCTTTGAACCCTGCAGGGCTAGATGTGAAAACCGCGCAGGAAATCAGTTTTCCATAGTTTTTCTATGTTTTCCCTAAGAATATCCAGAAAATATATGAATATTTCCCGAAACTAGGGCACTCCCACCACCAAACTGGTTTGTTCCAGTACGGGGACACGGCCCTGATATTGGCAAAATTGGTGTTTAGCCATCAAATATTCACTGATATGATTCAGATCGGAAAGTGTCAAAATTAGCACCTCAAGAACGACGTGATGCCACGGAGCCTGCCACTAATTGTTTTTTTTTTCGCCATCATCAATTCCAAAATGCGCGCGACATCTGAGATCTACAGGGTGAACGAAAAAATAGGCCCCTTTTCCTGGCCATCAGTGGTCAAGGTTTCACAAGATCCGGTGGCGGATCATTGCGGCTTTGTCCACCAGAGCTGCCCCGGGCGGAAGTTGTTTGTTCAAAGATACCATGCAAGAGGCATGAAGGGGTGACTTGAGGAACAACATGGATATGGACATGGATATTGGATGATATTGGGGAGATTAATGCACATATATGAACTGTATAAAGATGTTGAAACAAATGTTTAACTAGACAAACATTACAGTCAGATGAACCAAACATCTTGGGAAGGCCTTGTTTTTACAGCATGGTTTTCCCAAAGCGATTTGATTTCGAGAAGATATCCCCAAATCTTGGATAACTGTCATGTTGATCTTTGATCAGCTCTCCAAGAACTCCATCAAAAGTCCATTTGTAAGCAAAATCCCTGGTAGCCTTGGTGTTTGTTTTCAGAAAACCACGAATTGCCCGGAGAATTTGCAGATGTGCCAGGGATTGTACAGTTCTGTCTTGCGCGCGAAATCGGTGTATGATTCCCCAGCATTTTGGATGGGTTTTACCCATGATGATCACATCAGGGCAGGGAAGACCAATAAAAAAAACTTTCTTTTTTTATTGGTGATGTGGCTAAAAGTGCATCTTTATCCGCCCAGCCATCATCTACCAGGGGCCAGATTTCCTATAGTTACTATAGTTATATAAATGTGGCTCTGAACCTTACACAAAGGACAGGAAACGACCCCAACCACTCCTTTGACCACTCATAAATTACTAAAACCTGGTGCCTGATTTCAAACCACAAAGCACAAAAACATTGCAATGAACTTGGTGGACCATACCAAGAATTAGGGTAGTAAGTCCACCACATGGCCGTGAGCGTGCAGCCATCAGGCCCAACAGTATCTTCACTGAGATGGAAAGCTGACTCAGATCAGTGTGTCTTGATATACTTGTTCAAAACGATGTGATATCCGGACGCAAAATCAGGACACACAAGCAACCTGAGACAACACCATGCATATTCCATAGATCGAAGCAGCCACACAAAAAAACTAGCAGGGGAAACAGCTTCCCGACGAAAATAGAGGTAATTGATCAACAATTACATCAAGTCATCAATTTTTCATGAGCCAAAATCAAAGGTTCAATACATCAGAACCGGACTCAAATGGTTAAGCAATGTTGAATCCTGTTAAATCATGTTGAATATTGTCTGGTTGGTGGTTTGGACCATTTTTTATTTTTCCATATATTGGGAATTTCATCATCCCAACTGACGAACTCCATCATTTTTCAGAGGGCTAGGTCAACCACCAACCAGTTGTATAATCCTGTTAAAAGTGGCATTTCTCACCATGGATTGGGATGATCCCATGCTCCGCGACCTGGCCCAGCTGGGTCCCGCATCCGTCGGCAGAGCCCGGGACGGCCCGGGGCCGCTGAACCCGGTGGCCGTGATCCGCGCGCTGCGCGCGCAGCGGGATCCGCGGGAGGCGCAGCCGGCGCCGGAGGAGAGGCGGAGGCAAAGTCCCATGCGGAGGGCCAGGAGAAGTTCGAGAAGTTCCAGGTCTAACTCGCCGACACTGGGACAGGAGTTTTTCGGGCTGGATTTCATGATTTTCATTGGGATTTCACTGGCTGAAATTCCATTTCTTGGCTGGATTTCATTGGGAGAATAAGCAGTGAAGTTCTGAAACAGCGTAAACAGCGCTTCTTTTTCTTGCCGTGATGGGATGTGAAATTCTGAAAGGATTGAGCAACTGGATGATCATGATGGTAGCGGTACATGAGCAAAATTGAGGTAAGATGGTTTTGGGACATCTGGTTTGGATGTTTTGTAAAGGATAAATTGCCATGTGTGCCATACTTAAAACATGCAAACAACATGATTATATATATATATACACATAACATGTTATATATATAAAACCTGGATAAGTTGTTGATTTGTTGGTGCTTGGTCATGAATGCATGAATTGATATTCATTTACCCATGATATCCCATTACGGATGGCCAAGACCAAGACATACCGAAAAGCAGCCGCGTACACCATGCTTTGACAAAGGTCCTAAGGTAGATGGAACTGCCATAGATTGATATAGATTGTGGATATATATATATATTATATTATATATAGCATTTTCTAGCTTGAGGGATTATCCAAGAGTGTTTGGAGTTAGAATCTTTGGCAGTCACCTGCAGATGAGCTACTAATCATGGTTTGCACCCATACTGCGTTTGTTTATTGTTTGGTGATCAATGATGAAATATATGGAGGGGCTTGAATGAGTAGTCAATCATAGTCAATCGAATTCAATTGATGTCAATTGGCACTTTTGCATTCTGGATGGAAACAGGCTGCCGCTTGAATTATTGGGTAGATGAGATGCAAAATTCTGTGGAATCTGTAACGTGTTCTCTTTTGTGTCCTTTCCTGTGGGTTCAGGATCCATTATATATTCAAGCAAAACATGTGCTGCAGTTCTGCAAACTCATGCCGGAAATTGCCGGAATCAATTCAAAGATTTCGATTCGGCCTCAAGATGGCTTAGGTGAATCTATATATATATATATAGATAAGTTTAAAATTCCATATTTATGTCACTATCTATAGTATAATTTGTACGACTTCACAACCTTTCCACGAGATGAGTCCTATTATCACTATGGCTGCCAAGGAGAGAGTCAAGGAGCAAATCACGGAGCAAATCGCCCTGGAAAACCTATTGGAATCCCAAGGAGGAGTCCAAGTCCCTCGGATGCCTGGAATCTCTGAGATGTTTCTTCTGGTTAAATGCCGATTGAAGGGTTGTGAAATGTAGTGAATAGTTTGGACAGGCTTTGGAATATGTTGAAAAGTGTTGCAATCTTAGAAAAAACAGGTGATGTTTTTTGTTTTTGTTTTTTTTGTGGATACCATCCAGATTTTGGGGAGGCAACTCATTTGACTGCTAGCTGCTTTGTGGGATGAGCGATCAATTTCAAGGTTTCAGACTCAGCAACGCACAGAGATGGATAAATCGCAACAAAACAGCTTTAAGTGTGAATTCTCTGCAGATAAGGAATTTTATTATGATGATTTACATTTTTGTACAGATAAATATCAGATAACCGGTTTTTGTGCATACATATTTTCAAAAGACTATCATGATTTTTGGACGAGAGGTTGTTGTTGTGTGTTATAAAAACCAAAAACCATGTGTTATAATGTGGCTATGTAAAGCAGACATGTCTTTGTGTGAAAATGGGGTATCATTGATATCATTTAATTTTAATTTGATGATAGTTCATGCTTTATCATCATTTCTTTCTTTCAATGTCCCTTAGGGCCCTTAGGACTCGCTTTCTGCGGTCGACGCGGTCCGCAAAGCTCGAACGGCGCTTTCCCGAAGAAGCCGTGATCTGGCAGGAGCCTCATCCCTTGAGGAAGAAGCCGTGTGGCCGTTTCGTTGATGGAAGTCGGAATACTTTGATGCTTTGGCAAACTTTCTTCTTAGAAAAATGATGGAACATGATGGAACATGATGGAAAATGATGGGGATGGTTGAATCAATTTGCCAAGATAATTTTTAGGATGAGTTGAAACCACCATATGACATGTGATAAAAATAAACAGTGTGGTAGGGGTATCAAAATCCATTAGGCCCATCTACACAAAAGACAAATCACTTCTCAAACGTGCTGTCGGCGACCTTTGATCTCTATTTGGAGTATCTTGATCAAAGCATATATACCCTCCTGTAATCTAACATAACTGGGGAAAATGGCCACGTTCAGAAGGTAAATCATTTGCAGCTGGGTAATATTCCATGGCTATACTAAATTGCCAGAGGGTAGAAGGGGTTTTTCACCAGCCGTAGGAAAAAAAACACGATCACCGGCAGATCCAGTTTCGAACACTCCATTTTTTGTGATGCGATCCTGTGAGACCATAGCCAATTCACCAATATCCATTGAGGATATTTAAATATATCATTGGATTGGTTTAAGGGAAAATCTTAACCGGAAACCCAGGGTTTTTACATGTTTTTACCATCAAATATAGGGCTTAAACCTGTAAATTTTCCCATCATCCAATTCTATGAATATAGGATTTAAATGTACCAGATTCCATGGATCAATCAACTTGAGTGGCGGTGTGAGCCGACTTAAGCTGTGGTACAGCTTAAGAATTGTTAAGATCCAGGCTGCTTTTGGAGGATCTTAGATCCTGAAGTCGGTTGGTTTTCTTGAACAGTTCCAATCCTTGCCGCTTAGGCTTTAATACCTTCTGGATATTCTCCAGGAAAAATCCATTCATTGAAAATCTATGAATACTGGTGCATCATAGAGCACATCATGGATAATATATGTGTTTCTTCTATTTAAACGTTCTTATTCATTGATAGCACTCCCTCGGAAAGATAGAATGGTTATGCTGTGGTTGCCACTGTATTTTTTTGGTAATGCTTAAATGATGCCATTACTTTAGTATTGCCATGTATTGCCACTATCAATGTCGTGTTCTTTTGTAAACGGGGGTGTTATGATTCTTAACAATGGAGATTTTCGAGTCCTCGCGCAGGAGTTGAGTCCCGTCTCCAAAGCCCAGCGAGGAGAAAACACGCGCGGCGTTTCTTCGGAAGCGGGACGGAGACCCCCGTCCGCCTCAGCATCACTGAGCAGACAGGACCCCAGCCCAAGTGGGGTTGGGGGTGATAAAAGCATAGCTAGATACACTATGATATATCTAGATAATTTTAAGCGCCTCACTGCGACGTCACCGGAATGTAGGGGCAACTATCCCAAACTTGGCATAATTGTTAGTGACTATAATCATACCTCGGTAATCCTCGGTATATGAGAGTGAGGCGGATCAAGCGACAAGTTTCGACCCCTCAGGATGGCTGGGAAGGGCCAGAACGGACGCAAAAGTGAGATGGAATACAGTCCTTGAAACTGCCAGGGTAGTGGAAAACAGAAACCCTCCATCTTCGACCCAGGTTTGACCTGGGTTGGTCCGACCCAAAATTTCACCGCAGCCGTCGGGTCGCAGGACAAGTCGCCCCAAAGCAGAGACTGGGAGACAGTTCCGCCAAAGCTCCCGGTGAACTGGGACTCGACAGGACTGCGGTGCTCGAAGATCCCCATTTCTATGCGCTATGTTCCTAGGCTGGTTGAATCATGTTGAATCCGCGCGAGGGACAAATCTTGGAACAAGATTTCAGTGATTGCTACTACTTTCTTATATATACTTTTTATGTGGAACTTAATGTTTGCATGCCATAAACCGACCGTATTTTGATGGTAAACACCCATAAACATGGTAAAATTATTGTAAAATTCGGATCCATTCGGATCCTATTGCTTTACTAACATTATACAAATTATGACAAGATATTCCCTTCCGGATTTCAGTCAGTAGGACGTCGCTACGCATGTCACAACGACCTCATCAGTGAGCCACTGCTGGGAGAGATGTTGTTGGATGCCGCAGCCAAAGGCGGGGATCGTATGATATGGGACATGATGGGACTGTAATGGGGATAGTTTATGGGATATAACTTATACTGTATCATATTATATCACAATTTTCCCAATCGTTTCTGCAGTTTTTTGTTATAGTCCCACCAAAACTCCCCAATAGTTTCTGATAGACTGTCAGCAGTTCCAACATATAGCTGACCTGACCAAACAAATGGATTAATGTGGGAAACACAATGACATAAACCTATACCATTCTTGGAGGATTTATACACCACCCATGGGCATATATATATATATACTGTACATATATAATATGTATATATATATATATACTGTACATATATAATATGTATATATATATATATTGTATACATATCTGTTGGATATTTGGACATTTGCCTGCAAATTGCGGGTTGGTATGATATGGGTGGTTGTGGTCTCATTTCTTTGGGACTGCATCCCTTTTGATGGGATGATTCTCCCAGGTGATGTGCTGCAAGTCCGAGGCATACTTGAACTTTGGCAAACGGAGTAGAATGCTGAGCTTGTCCATTGGACAAGCTTTGATCATTTTTCTGGAAAATGAATGAAAATGATCCATGAATTGGTGAGACTTCCAGGGTACTTTCAATTGCTGGTTTGACACTTGACCAGTGCTTTCAACTGAGCTGCACAAAACAACTCATGTTTTTTCGTTGGTGGTGATAGGGGTATCCCACTACATGCATGTTTTTCGTTGGGGTATCATCCATGGAGTGGGAAACTCTTCCAGTAACAGGCAGGATACTGCGCCACTGATCAAGTTCTAGATACAATATTATGTGGCCAAACTTATGGGTCTCCTCTCAATTTTCATTTTTTAAGAAATGCATTTTTGATTGGTTCAATGCCCATGTTTGAAAAAACACACCCACAATTGTGGTGAAATAAGTCTTTCTTTTTGCTGGTCAGTCTGCATGCTTGATCAGGTTTCTTGGTCAGATTCCAAGTTATGGTCAAATCACAGTTTCCATTCTTGCGGGTCAAATCGCAATTTCTGCTGGTTGAATCTCCATGAAATATTTCTTGTTGGATTCAACATGATTTTAGCCATGCTGGTAACCTCTATAGCTGGTCAATTTCCCCCGAAACTCAGATAACTCAGGATCAAGCAGAGCTGGACCAGCAAAATGTCGCCTCCGTTCTGGCGTCTCGAGACTTTGACGATCGCACGCCTCTGCACTGGGCAGCACGGCAGGGGCATTTGGAGGTGGCTCTTAAGGGAGGGACTCTAGGGGCCCAGTTTAAAGGGGTTCCCCTTGGCAGTTTGGAGAATTAATGTGGCTGGTTGGTGGTTTATATACTGGTAATATATGGTTAATATATGGTTAATATATATATATATGGTTAATATATATATATATATATATGGTTAATATATATATGGTTAATATATATATATGGTTAATATATGGTTAATATATATGGTTAATATATGGTTAATATAATTCATATTCGGAATTGATCTACTTTGCCCAATGAAGGGGGAAGTGGGTGTGGAGCCAGCAAAAATGAAGGGGATGCCATCCCTCGGAAGAGCAAGGAGACACCACATGTATACACCACGAAAGCATGGTTTCTTGGGAGCATGTTTGTTGTTGGGGCAAGAAGGGGCCAACCAACAAGAATGAGGGTTAAACCAACAAAGATGAAGAACATGGATATGCCACCTCATGAACAGCAATCACCAGCGGTTTGAACTCCAAGAAATTGGGTTTCAGCTGACCAGAACAATCTAATATGAGGATCAATCAGCCCACAGATGTTGGTAAGCCTTTCCATTTGTTGAAGCATAAATACTACCAACCTAACTTAACGAACACATGTGCCAAATGTTTGTGGAATTTGCTGGACAGTTCCAAGGAACGATGCCTTCTGATGCCTTCAGCACAGAAGGTGACATTTAAAATTGGGTTATCTGAAAATAGGGTACCCCAAATCCAGTGGTGTATCATAAAGTTCCCACTTAATATGGCGATTCGGGGTATCCCGGTGAACACCCGGTATCCCGCATTTTCGATCCAAATGTTAATCTATCTCACCCAGAGGCACCCTACAAGAGGCACCCAGGCGCCCGGGTGGAGCGTTGCGACAGGTCTGTGATTTGCTCCTCCGCAAGAAAGCGGATGCCCTTAGCACGTCAGGCGGGCCGGCGGCTTCATTTTGATTCTGTGTCCGGGCTTGGTCAACTTCCAAGCCGCTTCCAAGCCATCTTCAATCATTTTCCATCAATTTCAGGTCAAAGCTGAATTTTCTCATTTTTCGATCATTTCTGACCCATCCATCCACGCGTTTCCCACGCATTTTCCACGCCTCGGGTGCTTGTGGGAGGTCCCCCACTGGCCACCCCGCTGATGCTGGCGAGCCTCCACGGGCACGCTGGCGTGGTGCGGCGGCTGCTGGGCACCTCGTCGGCTTCAAAACAGCTGCAGAGCTGCGATGCCAAAGGAAGGAACCTTGGAATTTTCAGAATTTTTCAGGGGTGGGAGTTCGGGGGTTGGGCCATTGTTGGGGTTGGGGTTGGGGGGTTGGGGTGTTGGATTTTTCCACCAATGGATTGGGGGGAAATTGACACCGATCACCCGGTAGGAACAAATCCCTTTAACCAATCCGGTAAATGAACATAGGGGAAACATGATGGTAAGCCAGCACAAACCTGGGGGGCTTGGGGGCTGATGTGAGAGGGAAGTGGCAGATGTGCATGTTGGATAATTCTGGGGATTCCATAGCGGTCTTGACTAATGAAGACTGGTTTAATAGGGTTGGGATGGAGCTGGGGGAAGTTTGGGCTTGGTTGAGGCGGTTTGGTGGTCAGTGCGTTTGACATGATCATGCTTGTTTGCTCCAATCACCGGACAAGTAAACTCTAATTACTAAAGATATTCGGTGAATCCAAATGAATCATGGTGCCCATGGTGCCAGCGCTTTCAGGAATGCTCTCCATTTGGTGGCTTGGTCGAACGTACATTTTGGGGCGGGCTGATGTCTCCCATGACTCATAACAATGCCCAACATCAGGGGATGCTACGATTGTCTTTGAAGTCGCAGTCAAACAATCAAGCAGCCACGTTCCCATTGGATTTCATAGCAGGTTTTGGTTTCAATTCTGAACAAATGAAGCCTACATTCATAGGATTTCATTGCAGTTGATGTGCAAATTGATAGGTTGATTTTTTTCTGGAACCACAACATGACCAACTGATGGCGGAACGGGGCACCTCATAAGCCCCAGGCTTGTTGTAGCAAGTCGCAAGTCTTGCAGCTCTTGCTGCACGTGCAACCTGAGCTTCTACATTCTCAGGCTGGGACTGTCAAAACGATGAAGATTTGACCGAGCAAATGATAGGATTTCATGGGATAGTCATTGGGATTTTTGGATAGATATATGATATAATGATGGATACAGATACCAATTGGATCCAATTGGTAATTAATACTTGGGATATTTTTTTAACACTAACCAACTAAAAAATCAACATCAACCAATTAGATAAACCCATGGATAAACCATGATCAACCCATTGGATTTTATTGGGACAAGGGTCATCCCACTACGATTTTTTGGATTCCAGTCGACTGGTGGGTTTCCATAACCATAACCATAACCCAAGGAATACCAACAGATGTCTATGGGATACCATAACCATAACATACCATAACCATCCATAACCATGTTTTGACATGTTTTGACCATGGCACATTCAGGTCTTTTTAAGGGCCGATCCGAGCTGATTTTCTGCTATCCAGCAGGTTTTGAGCGTCAACTGAGTGGTGATTATGTTACCAACAATATACGAGATACGTAAGGAACTAACAACTGATAACATTTGGTAACACAATCACCACCTATGAGTTATTAGTTCGAATCATCCTAAGTTTTAATGGAGGTGGCTGTTGCATTTTGGGATGACGATTACCAAAACTGGTCTTTCCATGCCGATTTCAAGGTGAGGCGCATCAGGGGATGATCTCTAACCAAAATCGTTTGAAAGCAAAATACCAGTGCTTCTCCAATGAAAAATCATCCTCCAAAGCTCGGATTGTAGATGAAGTGTGCCATGGTTCAAAGTTAGATCGTATACTGTACGCATTCTGGCGATGGTCATAGATTATGTACTTGGGTTCCGTAGGGTCTTATATACCCATTATAGGGATTCCCATTCCAGGATGAATGGCCATACCCCTTGAATCTCATGTAACTTGACCATGGCACAACTGATCACATGGTCAGCTGGAGGACAAGCTGGGTCGCAATCCTCTGTACTATGCTTTGGGCAATCCCGTACCAGAGGAGCAGTGGGAGATCTTGCCTCTTGGTGGCGGATACCCCAAATTTGGACCAAAGTTTGATCAACATGGGCCTTCAACAGTCAACCCCATTGCTAAGATTGATGAGTTGGGAAGCTGCAACAGACACCGAACCAAGCTGAGGAATACCTTGTTGCTGGGGAAGTGTTGTGCACACCAGGCACCGAGTATCACAGCAGGGCAGAGGCCTCTCATTGAAGGTGAAAGGCTTCGTTCTGAGTTGGGAAATATGGGTTTTTTCATAGGGATACCCCTATCAATGGATGGTTTATCATGGAAGATCTCATTTGAATAGGTGATTTAGGGCTACCCCCATTTCAGGAAATACCCATATAGATCCATATCGCAATTTGATGTAACTTGCCCAGATGTTGAGCCAAGTCTTTTGTTTGATGGCTCAGTAATTCGAGAAGCTGGCACCAGCTCTTCGGTCACAGAGTTGGGTCCCCAAGATCTTGAGACATCAAGCTGCATCTCATGCTGCTGATAGGTGGATTATTTGGATCGAAGTCCACTTTGGTATGCTGTACATGCAGGTGCGAGCTGCATGATCGGCACACCACCAATTTGGGAATTCGGAACCATATATATATATATATACGTGTATATGATTGTATATGTGTATATAAATTATATATATATATATATACGAGAAATGATCCGAGGATGTTTGGCAATCCTGAGATTGGACCAGTTGCCCACACCACTTGGGGGCCCACAATCTGCCGGTGGATACAGGTAGTTAGTCTCGTTTCGGCACAGGCAAAATCAATGCCACTGGCGCTCTCCCATCGTTTGGACAATATTGTCCTTATTGATGGTCCATCCACGGCTTCAATCCTCAAATTGATCAAAATCATTCAAATCCAAACAGTCCTACAGTTCAATTCTCACTCTTTTTGCTCAGATTCCTGCGTGATGGTGAGATCTCACCCTTGCGGGCATCCCGACAATTTTGGTCCAGATACCAACGCAACTGCACACTGATGCTGGTCAAAAGCGGGTTTTCTGGGCCCTAAATTTCCGGCAGTAGTCACTAGTCGCCAGCACCATTCGCAGGTGCTGTCAACTCTACAGCCTTGATGTTGCGCCTATCACCTGACAGGTCGGGCGGTTGGGTGGGCCATCAAGAATCAGGAAACCACAGTGAATTTGGGAGTTACCCAATGAAATGGTGGTTGATCGGAGATCAAACTGCCGTATATGACATTTGGTATGAGATTGTGATCCCTCAAGATAGCATAAGATAGCAACCTAACGATTGGGATTGGCCTCCCTTGACCGCGGTTCAGATTTGCTGCTGAAATTGCTGAGGGCACCCTTGCTCCGCAGGCCGCCTGAAGTTGCTACAAGCTCAAAGACACGGCACGATTTAGAAAGACCAAAGCCTGAAAGCCAACCGAAGCCTGAAGAGTCCAAGGCGGAGGAAAAGAAGGATAAGCCCAAGCCTGATGCCAAGCCTGAAGAGCCCAAGGCGGAGGAAAAGAAGGATGAGCCCAAGCCTGATGCCAAGCCTGAAGAGCCCAAGGCGGAGGAAAAGAAGGATGAGCCCAAGCCTGATGCCAAGCCTGAAGAGCCAAAGGCGGAGGAAAAGAAGGATGAACCCAAGCCTGATGCCAAGCCTGAAGAGCCCAAGGCGGAGGAAAAAAAGGATGAGCCCAAGCCTGATGCCAAGCCTGAAGAGCCAAAGGCGGAGGAAAAGAAGGATGAGCCCAAGCCTGATGCCAAGCCTGAAGAGCCCAAGGCGGAGGAAAAGAAGGATGAGCCCAAGCCTGATGCCAAGCCTGAAGAGCCCAAGGCGGAGGAAAAGAAGGATGAGCCCAAGCCTGATGCCAAGCCTGAAGAGCCCAAGGCAGAGGAAAAGAAGGATGAGCCCAAGCCTGATGCCAAGCCTGAAGAGCCCAAGGCGGAGGAAAAGAAGGATGAGCCCAAGCCTGATGCCAAGCCTGAGGAGCCAAGGCCGCGAGGAAAAGAAGGATGAGCCCAAGCATGATGCAAGCCTGAAGAGCCAAGGCGGAGGAAAAGAAGGATGAGCCCCAAGCCTGATGCCAAGCCTGAAGAGCCCAAGGCGAGAGGAAAAGAAGGATTGAGCCAAAGCATGATGCCAAGCCTGAAGAGCCAAGGCGGAGGAGGAAAGAAGATGAGCCCAAGCCTGATGCCAAGCCTGAAGAGCCCAAGGGAGGAAAAGAAGGATGAGCCCAAGCCTGATGCCAAGCCTGAAGAGCCCAAGGCGGAGGAAAAGAAGGATGAGCCCAAGCATGATGCCAAGCCTTGAAGAGCCCAAGGCCGAGGAAAAGAAGGATGACCAAGGCTCATGAGCCAAAGCCTGAGAGCCCAAGGCGGAGGAAAAGAAGGCTGAGCCCAGCCTGATGCCAAGCCTGAAGAGCCCAAGGCGGAGGAAAAGAAGGATGAGCCCAAGCCTGATGCCAAGCCTGAAGAGCCAAAGGCGGAGGAAAAGAAGGATGAACCCAAGCCTGATGCCAAGCCTGAAGAGCCCAAGGCGGAGGAAAAAAAGGATGAGCCCAAGCCTGATGCCAAGCCTGAAGAGCCAAAGGCGGAGGAAAAGAAGGATGAGCCCAAGCCTGATGCCAAGCCTGAAGAGCCCAAGGCGGAGGAAAAGAAGGATGAGCCCAAGCCTGATGCCAAGCCTGAAGAGCCCAAGGCGGAGGAAAAGAAGGATGAGCCCAAGCCTGATGCCAAGCCTGAAGAGCCCAAGGCAGAGGAAAAGAAGGATGAGCCCAAGCCTGATGCCAAGCCTGAAGAGCCCAAGGCGGAGGAAAAGAAGGATGAGCCCAAGCCTGATGCCAAGCCTGAGGAGCCAAAGACGGTTCCTGCTCTACCAAATGTGCCACATGTGCTTGCACTGGAAACGCCAAGAAGCTATGTGGACCCCGTGCCGGTGCTCAAAACAGTCACTTGGCCTCTTCTGTCAAGCGCTCACCCGATCCGAAACACATGGTGAACAGGACTTTCTAAAACATATTCTTGAAAACAAGGGATTAATTCCATGGAGGTAGGCATGTGTCGGACAAATTCATCATTCATCCATTTGAAGACAGATCTAGTTGGTGCACTCAGTCAGACATGACATTACCATGGAATTTGAGTTGACAGAAAGGAATTGCAGCATTGGATGGATGGAGTGACTGAGGGATGGATGAGACAGAAGAGATGGATTGAAAGACAAACAAATAGACAGATGCATACAGATGCGTGAACTTATAGATGGAGATAGGTGAAGTGGGTACAGACTGAGGCCCAGGGAGACAAAGGTAACTCATGGTAATGCATCAGTGATGATTTGGTCTTAAGTTTGATAGAATAGAGCACACTAGCATCCACACCAAGTTTGGAGAAATATATCGATGGCGAGAGCATGAGAAAGCAACGCATTTCAGTTGTGGTCTTTGTTGCTTGGACTGTGTCCATTGGACAAAATGTTTCATGGTAATCCCTCCCACCTACTATAAATACTCTCCAGAAAGCCACGCTTCACAGTACTGGCCAAATTCAGATTGAGGGCTCATATGGGGGTATTTAATATCGGGTGGATGGCATCGGTTTCTCCACAGCATTTTAAACGTTTGCAAGAAGCAAGCCGCTAAGCCAACTATTCAACCTTCTACATCAACCAGCCATTTATGACGCATTTACCACCCACCTTGGGGTAAGCCAACCCAGGTGACGGAATCTGGCAGCGCTGAAGCCACAGCAGTGGCAAAGGAATTGCAGGACCCACGGCATCCCATGGGCAAATGGGGACGGATTTAACGGGTGCCAGGGTGGAGGGGTGATTGAAAAATCATGGGTGGAAGATGGATATGATGGTTTACGATACGATTCATGATGGATTGATGCATATAATTGGATGCTGTAAAAAATGAGCTAACATCGCTGAGAATGGTTGAATTATGTTGAACATTTATACATGTCAACCCCGAAATAGCTTATATTTTAACCAACCATGACCAGTTTTGTGGCCTCATTGATACCTCAATTTTGAGCCGTCTGTGATGTTCATGAAGCCACCACTTGATCTATTTGGGATCGAGGCTCTCAACGGGTTTTACCATCAAATATGATTGGTGTAAAAATATACGTCCGCCACCTCTTATTGCTTGATCATCAAAGAGTTTGCATGATGATTTCATCCTCAAAGACTTGGCTTAAAAAAAGCAAACCTCTTTGCATTGACCAATATTGACCATCACTTAAAACTGAGGATTCGGATCCCAAGTAGAGACACCCCAAGGAATCCCAGGGCACCAAAAAAACGGGGGCATCGTCCCAAGTTCCTCCCATTGTTCCGTTCGACCTTTATTTAAAAATAATTTAAAGCACGATTTGGCCCATAAGTACAACAAAAAATATAGTAGTCTATAGATAAATTATTTGAAATGATGATATAATTGTGATAAATTGGTACTGACAATAGAGTATGTATAATATCATTCTTACTCATAATTCAACAAAACTAGTGATACTAAAAAATCAGCGTAGCCATCATCAGTGGCCAGGAGTTGCTAGAGCAGCACAAGTATCTCAATCCACAGACAGCCCATGTTCGACATCCCTTGCACGGTTGCTGAACTCACGGGCGTTGGTTTTTGGCGAATTTTCACCATGGGATTTACTGCATTAGTGGCAAGTAAAGTCAATTTTCATTGGGTAAATGATGATAAACATTGATAAACTATGGGTTCTTATGGTTTTTTTAAATGTTCTTTTGGGTATCCCTTTTTTCAACAGAGCCACTTAGAATGGCCAGCCAGGTCTCCGCCATCATTCCTACCTTTAGGGAGCTAAAACGACCAAGGGGCGTCCCAGGTTGGGTGAGTCGCTGCTCACAACTCTTGGCCGATTCCAAAGTAGCGGAAGCCAAGGTGCGAAAGGGGACCCATGGGGACCGAAAGTCGATCCAAGTGGTTCACCCAGGGTCGACCGTGTAGGCTTATGATGGGTGAAAAACTTGACATGTGACGAATTGTGACGACATAGGATATGTATGGATATGTAATACAACTATATTGACGCTGTTATGTTTAGTATGAAAGATTCGCCAATGGTAAATGGTGTCTTGTTGGTGTTAGAAAATGGGTAGAGTTTAATGACTTCACTGCGATCCCTAAAAAATGTCAGAAGTGCGCGCTATCATATTCTGCGGAGGTTGATGGTTTCACTTGATGAAGGCTGGTCTTCAGGTGAATGATGTTGGTGGAAACTTTCCATGAACAAGTGCCTGTAAAGATATTATGCAAATCGAATGGTACCTCGCCAAAGGGACCCCCCCAACAATGGGGCTTAATAAGCCTCTATAAATAAATTATTGGATTGATTCAAGAACACATAGTTGGATTAAATAGCTAATAACTAAATAACTATAATTCAACGATAATCAAGCCTAAAAGTATCATCTCTAAATCCAAAAATTGAAGTCTCCTCCCCTTTGGTTCAAATTTTCCATCTGTCCATCCACTTTCCACATTTTGAAAGACTTCATCCCCCGTGATCTCCACTTGGATGTGCATCCCAGTTTTTGAAATATAGGATTCTAATTCATGTATAGCTTCTATTAACTTTGCCATATATATATATATATATAAATAGATATTATGATTAGAACATGTTCTAACTGGTTTCCATCCCCAAACAAAATCAAGTTCCATCCCCAACGTCAAACAACTTCCGTGTACCCAAACATGCCAGGTTTGTTTAGCTCGTGTGACCACGGGTTTGAACACCGACATGACGCGGATCTCAACGGCCTTCAGACGTTTTGATATGGACGAATCCAAACATCTAGATGAAACCGAGATCATGTGACCTGGCTGGGGAAAGCGGGATATGTTTGATGGGGAAATCATGGGAAGATCATGGTGAAATAATGGGATAATGAGGAAATCATGGGAAAATAATGGTAAAGATCATGGGAAGATCGTGGGAAGATCATGGAGATTTTTGTTGGTGGATGCGACCCGGCATGGTGATGAAAAAAAAACTCCGGAGATCATGGGGAGATCATGGGGAGATCATGGAATTTTTTGTGGGACCTATTCATTACGAAGAATATTAATGAGTGTCTGATGGTGTTTGAATGTGTTTGAAGATAGGGTTTTTTGATGGGGTTGTAAAGATCATTTGAAATGGGTATATTAATTGAACCATACTGAAATGCGGTTGTTAGCCAGGTATAACCAATGATCATCATTGGACCACCATGGAACTGTAAAGAAAAAGGGAAGGAAAACCATGGCAAACCATTGGAGTTACCCTCTGGTAAACTAACATAACTATGGAAAATCACCATTTTTCATGGGAAAACTCACTATAAATCGCCATTTTCAATTACCAGAGGGTAGGAGTACCCTATTCTCAGACAAACCCGTGTTGCACTGAGTAATATTCTTGGTTGGTGTGAATCGCTGTGAATTGAGTTGTTAGCCGTGGAATGGAGGAAAATGGACCAACTGGAAACTGGAATCTGAATCCAAAAACATTGGCAAGATAGGTGTTTTGGACGTTGGTTGTTTTGGATGTGGTTAAACCGAAAACCTACAAATCTTAGGGTTTTGTGGAGTCTGTAAGTAGATTGCCGGGGTGTTTGCTGAGAACTTGTTGTTTTTTGCAATGTTGAAACAGAGATGAACCAATTACCCCGGAATCCTGGCGAACAACGAAGCAAGGGGTTTGCGCCCAGGCTTCGAGGGTTAAGTGATTGTAACATTGTACCATACATGATATCGGGACTATACACACATTTATAATCCCCTTCCACACATATTGAATGCCCATTGGAAAACTCTTGTTTCTTGTTGGATCTATTCATTCTCGGTTATCAGTTTTTAAATGTGTTCAATAGTTTTTCTCGGACATTCGCCATTAAACCCCCCTGAAATTGCTTTTATTGCATTTACATGTTTCAACTGAAAGCCATAGTTTTAAGATGTTTTAAGCATTTCAAATCCTCATGAAATCCCATTCGAAACGGACTCGTGGGCAATGAGGCGCCTGGCTGCCTACCTGGGTGTTGATGTCAACCCCAAAGATTTAGATCACAACACTGACGGTGCGCGACGGCGGGCAAAGGCGGTCATATGATTTTTTTTAGGTGAGATTATCATGTATCCATACTGGTTGGTGGTTCGGAACCATGGAATTTTATGACTTTCCATATACCCTCTGGTAAACTAACATTACTATTGACAATCACCATTTTTAATGGTAAATCCACTATAAATGGTCATTTTCAATAGCTATGTTAGTTTACCAGAGGGTATTGGGAATTTCATCATCCCAACTGACGAAGTTCATGATTTTTCAGAGGGGTTGAAACCACCAGGTGGAAATCATATACTATAGGCGATGATTAGGAACATATATATATATATCTATGAACATCATTGATGACAGATAATCACCATATGAGCTGGAAATAGGATAACATGGGAAATTATTGTTGATATTTCATAGAATATAATGGGATAATGATATACTTACATACTCATATAATAATATACATGTTCATATGATAATGTATATATATACACAGATATGTACATATATTAATATATTATGTACACATATGTATATATATATAAATACGCACGGTATATATATATGATAATAACACAACAATCTGATGTATTTCGGTGCGGTACCTGAAATGGGGAAAGTTCCCCCATGAATTCTCCAAAAGTTTGAGGTAAATGATGAGAAATCAGCCGATGGATTTCTCCACGAATTGAAGGAACATGTTACAGGAATACCCCGGTGCTACTTGATATTTGTCCATTTTTTTTGACAGGTTGTTTGCATTTTTTTGTTAAAGTAATGTAGTGTCATTGAGAACGACAAAACAGTGCAATTATCATAGGCTTAGTTTGCTTGGACATCTGCATACCATGTCACCTA